ATGTACATGATGCATATTGTGAGATGAAACAAAGAATGGGAGCAAATCGAATTGTTTGAAGACTGGCATTTATGATGATGGGGACCTCGGAAGGGAAGGCTGGGATTGGGCATCCTCTTGGCACTTATAGCTGAAGATACTTGTGAATACTTCAAGAATTTCCCATGCAGAGGAAATGCTCTTTTCGACCATTCACCCTATCAAACTTCAAAACGTTTTAAGTCGTCTCTTCTTGAAATGGTCTCATCTCAAATTTCACCCAGTTGTAATCTCCTTGTTTAACATCTTACTGTGAATTAACTTGCGGTTTCTGAAGTTTTAACTCATTTTCTGTAATGGGATAGTATAGCTTCTCACTTTCAATTGTAGTCTTACCTTGCATTTTCAAGAACTTTAGCGTAACCACTTTTTCACTTTGCACCTACTTATAAAACCCCAGGTGAAAGTGTTCTTTAAAAATGGCTTTTTTGTGATTGAATTTTTTAAACAGTTATTCATTTACAGTTCTGGGTGTCTCCATGTCTTTGTAGTGAGTTTAGAAATATAGAAAATGGGAGCAGCAGTAGGTTGATCAGACCACTGAACCCACACTGCCAGTCAGCATGTCATAGCTGATCCTCTCTCAACACCATGCTTGTATATGCTACTAATCTTTGGTTCTTCTCTCAATGCATAACTCCCATTAAGTTGTGTGCTCGCATTAAGTTGATTGTGCCTCTGCCAATTATGTTCTCCAAATCTATGTTATTGTCTTTTTTACAAAATTGGCTGATTTTTGATCTTGGGTGTGTGTACCAGAATTCACAACGCTCAAAACGATTTTTATATATCCAGCTTTAACCTCTGAAACACACTATTTCTTACTCCTCTCTGCAGCACCTGATTACCTGACCCTTTGATTCCCCTGTCTGTTGGCCAACTTTTCTACACTCTACCCTACTACATACCTTCTTTTTAAAATAAATTTCCAGCTGTCACCTCATCATGAAGTTCCATATCCACTGCACGTCTTAGATTCCTTTTACCTGTTTAAATAGTCTGTTTAGAAAAATCAAAACTCTTAGATTTGTTAATCATGCCTTTAATAAATCCATTCTGTTTGTCTTTGAATTACCAAAGCAGGTCTAAATATTCATCTGATTTCATCTTGAATAATGGATCCCAAATGATTTCCCACAGCTGATGTAACACTAACTGGCCTACGGTTGTTTCATTGATATTTTCCCTGAACGTAGTTGTGTTAGCAATCCTCTGCTTCCTTGACACAGGCTGTATGTCTGAAGACTGAAAAAGTTCCATTCTACTACATTCAGTATCTTAGATTACGGTGACTTGACAATTTTGAGTTCCTTCTTAAAACTCAATTTTTTGTTAGTCTTTCAACAGTGCGATATCTTTTTATTAATTACTATATTAACCTTTGAGAATTTTCAAACTGATTAGTTATTTCCCTTGGAATGCTTTAACATTGAGTAACTGAGTTAGAGATTTTTGCATCTTTTAAGGAAATGTGAATAAATGTTTGAATCTGTGGCTGATATTGGCTCTAGGAGGAATGCAGGGAAGTAGTTAATTTTGCAGCCCAAGGGTATCAATGTGGACTTCAAACTCCAAAATCTCCCCTCCCCCGACCGCATCCCAAAACCAGCCCAGCTTGTCCCCGCCTCCCTAACCATTCGGCCCACCTCCAGCCCTACCCCCAAGTCCTACCCACTAACCTCATCCCGCCTCCTTGACCTGTCCGTCCTCCCTGGACCGACCTATCCCCTCCCTAACTCCCCACCAACATTCACCTTTTACTGGCTCCAACCCCGCCTCTTTGACCTGTCTGTCTCTTCTCCACCTATCTTCTCCATTTTATCCATCTTCTGTCCGCCTCCCCCTCTCTCCCTATTTATTTCAGAACCCCCTTCCCCTCCCCCATTTCGGAAGAAGGGTCTCGACCCGAAATGTCAGCTTTCCTGCTCCTCTGATGCTGCTTGGCCTGCTGTGTTTGTCCAGCTCTGCACCTTGTTGTCTCCGATTCTCCAGCATTGGCAGTTCCTACTATCTCTAGTTAGTTTTGTAGTTGGTTTGGCTATGATGGGACATCATCTTTAATAAATGTTTTAGCTTTCTCACTGCTCATCTGTCAAGAGCATTTTACATGTGAGTAATTTACTGCAAGCAGATTTAATTATTTAACTGCTTCTGTACCAACTCTGCGTAATACAGAGCAAAGATGCAGATTTTGATTCATAACGTACTTTATGTACTGCTTCTTTTAAATGTTTTGGACAGAGGATATTGGTTTGTGCAATAATTTTTAATAGCAAGTGTAATGAGGTATAATGTGTAAAAGCAAAATAAGTATGCTTTTTGGAATGTAATTGATGATGTTGGAGGTTGATCATCTCAGTCCTAGGACACTATTCCTGAAACTAAATATTTTCCTAAAAACCTGTTTAGAGATATTATTACACACCTCTGAAGCAGGTGAGACTTGAGTTCAGAAGTAGAGATACTGTCACTGCACCACAAGAGCCCCAAAAGCCTACTGCACATGGTATTCCCAGGTAGCCTCCCATCCAAGGACTAACAAGGCTTGAGTCACAGATGTACAGCAAGGAAACAGACCCTTCTGTCCAACTTGTCTGTGCCGACCAGATATCCTAATTAAATCTAGTCCCATTTGCCAGCATTTGGCCCTTATCCCTTTAAACCCTTCCTATTCATGTACCCATCCAGATGCCTTTTAAATGTTGTAATTGTACCAGCCTCCATCACGACTTCTGGCAGCTCATTCCATACATGCGCCACCCTCTGCGTGAAAAAGTTTCCCCTTAGGCCCTCTTTAAATCCTACCCCCTCACCGTAAACCTGTGCTGTCTAGTTTGGACCAGGTTAGGAGAAAAGATCTTGACTGTACAGCTTATCCGTGCCCCATGATTTTGTAAACTTCTATAAGGTCACCCCTCGGCCTCTGATGCTCCAGTGGAAAAAAAGCGTCCCAGCCTATTCAGCCTCTGCTTATAGCTCAAATCCTCCATACCTGACAATGTCCTTGTAAATCTTTTCTGAACCATTTAAAGTTTCACAACATCTTTCTTATAGCAAGGAGACCAGAATTCCAAAAGTGGCCTAACCAATGTCCTGTACAACCGCAACATGACTTTGCAACTCCTATATTCAATGCACTGACTAATAAAGGCAAGTGTACCAAACACACTCTTCTTTACCCTGTCTCCACTTTCAAGGAACTATGAACCTGCACTCCAAAGTCTCTTTGTTTGGCAATGCTCTTCAGGACCTTACCATTCAGTGTATAAGTCCCACCCTGATTCGTCTTACCAACATGCAGTTCCTCTCATTTATCTAACTTAAACTCCCATCTGCCACTCCTTGCTCATTGGTCCATCTGTTCAAGGTCCCGTTATACTTTGAGATAATCTTTGTTGCTGTCCTCTAAACTACCAATTTTGGTGTCATCTGTCAAATTACTAACCAATTCGCATCCAAATCATTTATATAAATGACGCAAAGCAATGGACTGAGCAGTGATCTTTGTGGCATGCTGCAGGTCACAGGCCTCCAGTCCAAAAAACCCTTCCTCACCACCCTATGTCTCCTACCTTTGAACCAATTTTGTATCCAAGTGGCTAGTTCTCTCTGTATTTCGTGTGATCTGACCTTGTTAACCAGCCTACCATGTGAACCTTGTCAAATGTCTTACTGAAGTCCATATAGACGTCAAAAAAAAACTCAGTCAAGTTTGTGAAACATGATTTCCCACGGACAAAGCCATGCTGAATATCCCTAATCAGTCCTTGTCTTTACAAATACATTACATCCTGTCCCTCCAATTCCCTCCAATTTGCCCACTACTGATGTCAGGTTCACTGGTCTGTGGTTCCCTGGCTTTTCCTTACCACCTTTCTTAAATAATTAGCCAACCTCCAGCCTTCTGGCACGTCACCCATGGCAATCAATGACGCATCATCTGTTTAGCTTCTGAGATCAAATGAGATTGGGCACTTCAGACCTGTGTTACTACAGTTTGAAGGTAATATCAGCTGCTTCATCAATGATCTTCCTTTTATCATAGGTTCAGAAGTGGGATGTCTATTGATTATGTAATTCCTAACATCATTTGTGAATCCGTCCTTGCTGTGAATGCAGCAAAATCTGGACAAAATTCAAGGTCGCACTGACAAGTGGCAAATAATATTTGTGGTACAATTACAAGTACCACACATTGACCATTTCACAACAAGATAGTCTAACTGTCCCCACATGACATTCATGGCATTGCTATCATTGAATCTCCCATTGGCAACCTCCCAAGATGTTGACATTCAGCAGAGACTGAACTGAGCCAACTATATCAGCCTCTGAGACAACAAGGTGCAGAGCTGGATGAACACAGCAGGCCAAGCAGCACACCAGCTCCTCCAAATCTGTGATCTCTGCCACATAGAAAGCTGAGGACCGGAGATGTACCACAACAACCTGCAAGTTCCCTTCCAAACCACTCACTATTCTAACTTGAAAATGTATCCCTGTTCTTTCATTGCTCACTCGGGTTTTGTAACTCACTTTCAAAAGCACTGTGATTGTATCAGTATTCAGTAAAAGTCAGATATTGCTGGAAACAGCAATTTTCTGTTTTTATTTCCGATTTCCAGTATCCGCTGCTCCTGGTTTTTTGCTCAGTCGAAGTCACCCCTCGTTGCCAAGGTGATGTGCTGCCTTTTGCACAAATGCGATATTTTTTCCATCTTCCACAACAACCATGCATTTAGGTAATAAATACAACACCATTCATTTTCATGCTGAGTGTTTGTAATTGAATGGACTGATGTTGATTACATTTTGAATTCCATTCCTAAATGATTGAAAAGGCATCCTCCGTGCATACAATTCAAGCTTGGGCCTCAAAAGTGAAAGCCTGTTGTTACCGTATTGCCCCATTCCCTAATATTTGGATTGTGATCATACTGATTACTGTGGTTTCTTTGTAGGAGCTGGGTAAATATGGACTACTTTATTACAATGCCCTCTTTATGATTCTGCCTTCTTTGGTCATTGCATACTTCACAGGCGATCTTCAAAAGGTAAGCACTTTTCAAGCCAAAAACTTGATACAATAGTGTTTTTATTTTTATAGACCTTAACAATTTTGATCTTTAAGAAATCAACTCTTAAAATGAGTTCCACCCCTCAGCCTGTGCTACCAGAAGTTAAAGATACTGAGTGGAGTAAAGGGCCACTTCTGAACTGTACGATTTTTTTGTGCATCAGATTGCTCCCGATAGATTCTTTTGCTTCTAACCATTGTCCCTCCCTCACTTCCTTATTTTGCTTTCTTTCATCCATTCACGACCTATTTGCCATTACATCTCCCTTGACAGACCAGACTCTCAAATCTGTGTTGCCCTGCAGAAAATTCTTAATCCTGGAATACATCTGGAGTGCCTACCTGCAGTGTGGCACTGAGTCTGCTCGCGGACCAAATTTATGGTTTTGTTTGGTAGATAGTCTCTCTAGACTTGGACTCCACCCTACATAAGACTGATAATTGTTGAAGAGGGAACAACTGATGCACGCAGTCAAAAGCTGCCAAAACTATCTCTGAATAGCTCTGGACATGAAGCTATCAGTCATTGTGACCATAAGTTCTCAAATTCCCACTACATGCTACACCCAGCAATCTAGGTTGGTACTCACTCAGAGATAGTAAGTACTGCCGATGCTGGAGTCAGAGATAACAGTGTGGAGCTGGAGGAACGCAGCAGGCCAGGCAGCATCAGAGGTAATTGATTGTAGATGCTGCCTGGCCTGCTGTGTTCCTCCAGCTCCACGCTGTGTTAATCTAGGTTGGTAGATAGGTCTGACCCTACCACAGTCACTGTAAGCATCCTCTTAAACAATAACTGTTTCATCCCTTTTGGCTGGCACAAACCAGCTTTAAGTGGATGACTGAGGCATCTACAGCTGCTTTTGAACTCTAGGCAGATATTAGTGTGTGGACTGTTTGATAGTACAGGGAAACTAAACCAGCAATGATCGGTTTAATTCTCCACTGAGCTATAATTTAACAAAACTTAAGTCAGAATTCTGGCAACAGAGATTGCATCCTTGCACAGAGTTGAAAAGGAGGCTTCATGTAGAAACTCTAGTCAAAGCCAGCTATGAGAATGTAACAAATAGCAGAGGGGGAGGGTAGGCTATTGGGCCCCTTTAACTTGAACCACCTTTCAGTAAGTTCTTGGTTGAGCTAATGCAGAAATTCTTTAATGATACTGGAATACGTGAGCTACATGAAAGTTGGCATCAGCATTTTTGAACTTGAAGGTGTAGTTTGGCTTTGGATACTGAATAATGTGTTGCAAGCTTAGATCTACAGTAGTTTTAGTGTAGCTATTCCCAGATTTTCTATACAAGGATGTCTTTTTACCAAAAGAAAACCTTTGCAACTGCTGTTTGTAGTAATTATTTCATGTTGAGCTTATAGCAGAGAACTACATATTTGTGTAAAGAATTCCTAGAAAATATTGATAATACCATAGACTCCAGTTTGAATTTCAAAGACAGCTCAAAATGTTGTTCATATGTTTGAAAAAAAAACTGATAAAACAAGTGATCAGAGGTTCTTTTAGTTTACAAAGATATTTCAATCTCTCTTCTCCACCCCTCCTCACCCTTAGTTTTAAAGCGCATTCTTTCTCTTCCAAATAATTGACTTCACCATATCAACTCACTTTAAAGTCATTAGGTTCTCCACCATCCACCATGTCCTGCTTATAAAGGCATTCTTTTCCTCACATCCTCTAGTTCTTTACACGCTCTCCCACATTGACACAGCCTTCAAAGACCTACCAATTTCATTACTTAAATGGTACAGCAACAAAATTATCTAGTTAATTTACGGCTTAACGATATAACCATCTCCTGGATCTAGGTATAATAAAATTTGGCTGTTGTGTATGAGTGGAAATCCAATATCCATTACATCTTAATGACTTTGATTCTAACAACTTTCCAATTCACTTTGTTTTAATGACAACGCTTCGCTTTTGAGAAAAGCGATGATTTGCAGCGCTCTTTAGTCTTTGAGGTAACTAACTAATTGTCAAATCCATTTCATTTACACTCATCCACACCATAAAATTAATGTTTGAGTAACAGTGCACATACAAACTGAAATGAGAGCCAAACACTAACAATTGGTAACTTCCTTCATGGTTTGTTGAGTGGACAGAAACAAAACAATGCATCCTCTTGATTAAAATTGAAGGTACTGGAGAAACTGACGCAATGAAAAATATTGAAATGGTGTCTTTGACACTTGAGGAACGTTAATGTTTTTTAGTAACGTGAAGTGTAGCAAAATTAGGATCGTGGTGAATGTTGTGTTGATGGATTTTTGTTCAGTTTGCGTGTTATAGGTAACATGAAAATGTTTGGGCTTGAATCCTGAAATTATATCTGGTGTGGAGCATCTAGAATTTTTAAAAACATTTTCCCTCCCTTGAAGGACTCCCTCTTGAATTAACTCTTCACTAAAAAGGCAATAATTTTATGAACGGAAAGGAAAAGTGGAGGATTTTCTGCTCAGTATTACCCCTTTCTTTTCTGCCCCGGTGTTGGTGGACAAAAGGAGAGAGCCTGAAATTGGCTGCGTTGGTTTAATTTCAGTTTGAAATACAGTTGCAGGGTTATTCAAAAGTGATTATTTAAGTTGAATAGTACTTTAGTTGTATTCCCTCCTGTCTCAAAGCAGTTTTTTGGAATATGGATGGAAAGCACACGAACACTGGTTCATTTGTGAAAGGCGCTGTGCTTGTTGATGTTCTGACAGTAAAGAGTTATTGAAGTAATTACTCAGACTTGATGTCTGACCAGTTGGAATCTCCTCAAAAACTGTGTACCTTGTGGAAAGAGACCAGGGAGCCTGAGTAGAATAGAGCTTCTGTTTTAATACTGTAGAGTGGTTTAATTGAGCCTGCTTTTGGCAGGTTGTGGCAATGGAGGTTCAATGGCGGTTGAAAATGTTAGCATTTTCGAGAGTTATGATTTTAGAACCGTCTTGTTCTGCATGGCATTGCTAACTAAAGTCCCTTTTACCTTTTTTGAAACAGTTGCAGATTTTGGTTGCCAGATCCCTTCTCTCGTGAAATATTCAAAACCCTTGAAGTTTCCCAATTGAAAGTTTAGTTGCATGTTGGCCTGTTGCAACTTTGTAGAATAGGACAAGTTAGACAGTTTTATTTTTGGCCACAGCTTTGTTTGTAGCAGAAAATGACCTTAAGTGTTAGATACCATGAAAATTATTATAATTCCTTCTAATGTTCTTGATGAAGCATATGTCCAGTATGTTTGTCTAATATGGAGCATGCAAGACGCAGTGGGCATCTGCTATATTTACTTTGATTAATCATGTGATCATTGGTAATTTTGTACTGTTCTACGTGATCTCCTAGCTATGCATTTTGTGTTCGAGGAATAAACAGATGACCTGCTCTGGACCCATTTAGATTTGATTTGATTTGCATTTAAATTTGACAGGTACTTGGAACTTCAGTATCAGTGTTCCTACATACTGGGGACTGTAACCTAGAGAGAACAATAAAGTAAATGTTGCTGCGTGAGAATACGGGAATCACGCTATTTGGCGTTCAGAGATTTTCAAATTATCTTTTTGTTTACTCTGACCTTTCTGGGGTATTTAAAAACAGCATTTGGGTTTTACAAGGTATAATATGTGTATTTCATACCATACAGGGATTCCGATTCATTTCAAGCTAACTGACTTAGTCATAGGGTTGTACAGCATGGAAACAGACCCTTCAGTCCAACTCGTCCATGCCGACCAGATACTGTAAATTTGTCTAGTCCCATTTGTCAGCATTTGGTTTATATCCCTCAGAAGCTTTCCTATTCATTTTCCCATTCAGATGCCTTTAAATATTGTAATTGTAATTCTACCCACCACCTCCACTTCTTCCTCTGGCAGCTCATTCCATACACTCACCACCCTCTGTATGGAAAAAGTTGCCCCTTACGTCCGTCTTAAATCTTTCCCCTCTCGTCTTAAACCTATGCCATCTAGTTTTGGACTCCACTACCTTGAGGGAAAAGACCTTCGCTATTCATCCTATCCATGCCCCATGATTTTATAAACTTCTATAAGGTCACCCCTCGGCCTCTGCCCTAGGGAAAATAGCCCCAACCTATTCAGCTTTTCCCTCTAGCTCCAACCCTCCAATGATGATGTATCCTTGTAAATCTTTTTTGAACCCTTTCAAGTTTCACAACATTCTCCCTATAGTAGTAGAATGCATTATTCCATAAGTGGCCTAACTAATGTCCTATACCGCTGCAACTTGACCTCCCAGCGCCTGTACTCAATGCACTGACCGATAAAGGCAAGCACACCAAATGCCATCTTCACTATCCTTCTACCTATGACTATGCTTCCAAGGAATTATGAACCTGCGCTCCAAGGTCTCTGTTCAGCAACACTCCTCAGGTTCTTACCATTGAGTGTATAAGTTCTCCCCTGATTTGCCTTTCCAAAATGCAGCACCTCCCATTTATGTAAATTATACTCCGTCTGCCATTCCTTGGCCCACCAGCCCAACTGACCAATGTTCCATTGTACTCGGAGGTAACCCTATTGGCTATCTGCTCCACCACTAATTTTGGTGTCATCTGCAAACTTACTAACCATATCTACTGTGTTAGCATCCAAATCATTTATAAAAATGACACAAAGCAGTGGACCTAGCACCGATCCTTGTGGCACACTGCTGGTCTCAGGCCTCCAGTCCGAAAAGCCAATCTCTGCTACTACCCTCTGTCTCCTACCTTCGAGCCAGTTCTGTATCCAAATGACTGGTTCTCCCTGTATTCCATGTGGATCTAACCTTGCTGACCAGTCTACCATGGAGAACCTTGTCGACTATCTTACTGAAGTCCATATGGATCACATCCACTGCTCTGCCTTCATCAATCCTCTGTTACTACTTCAAAATGAAGTCTTTTTAAAAAAAAAAATCTGAGGATCCCAAAGGTAACCAATTTATACGTCAGGACTGTATTAATTTTTATA